TGACCTGACCTTGACCCGAAAGTTGACCTCAATCTTAAAATCTTAAGAGTGCTTTGGGAAGGTCTCGTAGAGACCTTTCGAACGCCGCCTCGCGGGGCTCGATACGACCATTGGTTCTCGAGATAACAGGGGGGCGGGTCGGATCCGACCCCCCCCCCCCAGGCTGATGTGGGTACGGAAATAGCCCAGGCGGTGCCGGGTTAAGGCATGATCACTGCTCAGTTGCGCAGGTTCACCAGAACAGCGTCATGGGTGCAAAATGACCACCGCAGCGCCCGTAAACCCAAATAAACAAACAAGCAAACATCAGTTGCGCAGTTAATGCCGATTTTCACAATTTTGATTGTCTATTGATGTTGTTTGGTCATTTCAGGACTCGTGGCGCTGCTCGCCTCCTCGCCAATGCGAACGCGTTCTCTGAGGACAACCCGCCCAAGGCTACCATGGCGAAGCCACGCCACCGCGCCGGCTATAGACTCACGGTCTGAAGCGAGTTTGGGCGCGACGGCTGGCGAGCCAAGGCGGCGGAAAGTCGTCTGGCGGAGCTCCCGTCTAAGGCGAGCTTGATCTGGTCAGACAGCTCCGCCACCGATGGTGTGCTAGATGGAGGAGGAGGGGCCACCCCCCCCCCCGAACCGCGACATCCGAGAGGTGCGTGTCGCGGCAGGCGCCCTCTGCTCTAGCACGCGCGGCGAGCTATTCGCCCTAGATCAAGGTGGCCGGAACATCGGTCAAAGGATCCCCGCACCTGAGACTCCTAGGAGTCACCTTCGACAGACTCCTCCACTTCGGGGAACACTGCAAGAACCTGCGCCGGAAAGTGAAGCCCAGGACGGCTCAGCTGAGGAAGCTGACCGGTCGCAGCTGGGGCCTCCAGGAGGCGCAACTACGGACCGTTGCCAACGGATACGTTCGGGGCGCCCTGGAGTACGCGGCAGCAGCGTGGCTCCCGGCGGCGTCTGAAGCTCACGTCGAGCTGATCGAGCGGGAGCTGCGAGCGGCGGCCCGTGCGGTCACTGGCTGCACGGCCTCGACCCCGACCGCGCCGCTGATGGCCGAGGCCGGCATCCCGCCGGCGCGAGTACGATGCCCGGCGCTGGCCGCCCGCATGGTGGGCCTGGCCGCCTCGCTGCCCGGCGACGACCCGCTCCACGCCGTCGGGGAGATGCACGTCGCGCCCCGCCTGAGGACGACCACCGGATGGCGTGACGTCGGCCACCGCGCCCTGGCTTGGACAGGCGCGGCCGACGTCAAAGTGGAAGGACGCCCTACAAAGACTATCCCACCGTGGGACCACCATGGAGAAGCCGTGACGTTCTGCCTGGACGTCGGCCCCGGCGGCCAGAGAGCGGCCCCTGCGCACATACGGAGGGGAGCGGCAGAGGCCACATTGGAACATCTGCCGCCCCGCGCCACCTGGATATGGTCGGACGGCTCGGCGGAGGGAGGCGTCTCCCAAGGCGGGGGCGGTGCCACCATCACCTTCCCGTCGGGAGAGACTCGGGAGGTCCGAGTCCCAGCGGGCCAGCTCTGCTCCAGTACGCGGGCAGAGCTGTGTGCCCTGAAGGCGGCCCTGAACGCCATCCGAGACGCCGACGCCGACATCGCAGACGACCCAATAGTCATCTGCACCGACTCCCAGGCCGCCCTGAGGATGCTGGAGAGCGGCGCCTCCTCCCAGACGACTCACCTAGGGATCTCCATCTGGGAGGACCTACTCGCTCTCTCCAGCCGAGGGTCACCGATCCGCCTCCAGTGGGTCCCGGCGCACTGCGGCCTGCGGGAAAATGAGAGGGCCGATGAGCTGGCCAAGGAGGCCTCCGGCCTACCCCAGGAGGCAGCAGCAACAGACGTGAGGACGCTAACGAAGGCCGTCGCACGCTGCGCCTCCCACCGCTGGCGGCAGGAATGGCCGTCCAGCTTCTTCAAGGACATCATGCGGGACCGTATGCCGGCTCCGCTCAACAACCTCGACCGGGATGCCGCCGTCAACGTCCACCAGCTGCGGGCCGGGCACTGGGGTCGCTCGCAGCAGTATCTGCACCGTATCGGGCGGCGCCCCATCCCGACCTGCCAGCAGTGCAACCTCAAGGCGTGCCCCGCAGCCCGCTGCATCGTGTGCAGAGAGGGCGCCGACACCCCGGAGCATGTGTTGCTCAGGTGCCCGTGCCTGGCCGGCGCCCGCCTGCGACTGACGGGCAACATCCACATCCGACCAGAGCAGCTGAAGGACGGCGAGCTGGTGGCGGCCTTGGCCGCCGGCTACCTCCGCCACAAGGAGCCCCTCACGGGGTTACAGGCCGGCCCCAGCCGGCCCTGAGGGGAACACCAACAACAACAACAACAGCTATTCGCCCTAAGAGCGGTGTTGGAGGAGCTGGCCGGACGGATGGTACCGGTCGATATGGGTCGACCGCCGTCTGTCCCAACGGTAGCGCCGATCGACGTGGCACTATCTGCAAGGCAGGCGCGCGCGCGCGACAGGCGCGCCACGGCAGGCGCGCGCGCGACGCTGCGCGCGCCTGCCGGTCGATATGGGTCGACCGCTGTCCTGGCTCCGTCCTGGAGGCCGACCGTGCAGTCGTTATCGACATCCGCCAGTACCTGCTCTGCATCGGCCGCCTCCCGAGGCCGGATGCCCACAATGCAACGACGTGGAGTGCCCTGCTGCCCGATGCCGCGTCTGCCGCGAAGAGGCTGGCACTCCACGGTATGTGCTGCTGCGATGCGCGGCGCTGGCGGCGTTACGACAAAGAGCCTCGGCAGCTGAACTGCTTCAAGCGACGTAACGATATCTGCCCTCCCCTCCCCTATCGAGCCGCGTGGGTGTGGACGGACGGGTCGGCAGACGCGAGAACCTGCAGCGAAGGAGCTGGGGTCTACGGGTAGTAGCAGGACGAATGGACTGATGAGCCGCGTGTCCCGGCCGGTCCATTCTGCTGTTCCAGCTCCAGGACCGGCCGCGCCGTCGCCACCCGTCCGGCGTCAGTGGAGGACCGCTCATCAGCTGTCGATTTTCATCAGTTTCGTTTGGACCACTGGTCGGGCTCCTGCCAGTGCCGACATTGGATTGGGCGGAGTCCTACCGGTGAATGCCGCGAGTGCTGCAACATTGGCTCGGTACATCTCGGTACATTTTCCCGAGTCTGGTGTGGCTACGGGGAGACGGATTTGGTGACCCTGGCTGCCGCCGTGAGAACCATCCAGAACCGTACGGCTATGCTGCGGCAGCGGCTGAAAGGAACGCAACAACAATAACTACAACAGCAGCTGCTAATGAAAGGGGAAATCATGGAGCCGGATGACCCGGCACATGACGCTCAGCCAGCTGAGAATGAGAGCAGCTATCAAATCGCCAGCAGGGTGCTGCGGCAGGCGGCTGGTAACTGACGACCTTGGTAGAGAGAGCTTCTCCGCTGATGCGGATGAAACTACCCCCTCTCGGGTTTGTTTGACGCCGTCTCCGTCGTCGACTCTTTCGCCTGGGCCGGCTGGCGACCGCGCTACATTTCTTGTGCAGTGACTCGTAAGTCGTAACTGTGTTCACCAAACTTTTAAAACTCCCCACGTTAGCATCTTTAAAGAATGTTTTCCTTGTACACTGCTGCAATGTCTTATGTAGGCATATTGTACAGTCTAAACGAGTGTGGAATGCTTTGTTGTGCTTGTTCTGTATTTCGTTTGCTATTTATCACGATGACTATAATTCATTTTGACCAACCCTTGCCTTGTTACAATTTTAGTGGATGGTTTCTGAACTGCTGTTTGCATTATAGATGTTGCTAGTGCGTAGACGCCAAAGATTACTTTATACCTATTGACGCGCCAGATAAAGGAGGTGAAGTATTCCTCTGATCTATACCTACGGAATTCCTTTATGTGTGTTTTGTAATCGATATTGGCGGTTTTCTTATGTGATGCGGTGTAGAGCGTGACTGAGGAAGGCGATGTTTAAAGTTGCTAGTTATTTTTCAATACATCTATGATCGGACTGTCGTGCTTGCTGTAGGTCGGACTTCCGTTCTTGATGGTGATTGGACGCACGTGCCGGTAGTTCACAACAATGCGGCTTTCGATTATACACCTTTTTGCACTCAAAATAGGCATCTTTTCATTCAATTTCGGCGAATTGCACGATAGGCGTTATCACAAGTGTATTCGCGGCCATTGGGGCGACGTAAGAAAAGAAGAAAACAACTGGCCCCAAGAACTTTAAATTATCAGTTAGCATGCACATTGTCCTTGATATGTAGAGAATTTACCATTAATTGTTAGAGAAAATTGCATTTAAAATCTTCCATTTATTCTTTTTTTCATCGTTTGCACAGTATGTTCTTTTACTAATCTAGAAACACTAATTAGAAATAGTTCCCGCATCATCAAGAACAATAGGGAAGGCTTGAAGTGAATAAAATAATCTAAACGGTTTTGTAATCCATGTGAAGACACTTCTAAAATTGCCTGTAGCACAGACTTCTCTATATATGGACTGTGCGCTGATTTGGGAAATCAGCATTGGAGGCCCAAATTTCTGAAGGCTGAAACCGTAATATGAACCCATATGTTGTAACACAATACCCTTTTATTGTTTCCTGTCGACAGGCTGAATTTTATGTAATATATTTTGTTTTTGTACTATATATTGCTCGTAGCTCAGAATAAGAAAGGCTTCTGGTCGATATGAATCTGTATTGGAACATCATTTCACGTTCATCGACACCCATTGATGTCCTCATGTCAAGTTCATCTCACATTGCACCAGTGGGCTTGAAAATGGCGTTAGTCCATTTTCACCGCGGGATCCAGCGAGAAAGGGTGGCTATCATCCCTTTCTTCTTCCCCCGTGTGCTGGATTGTTCACATCTCTGACATGGCTGGCTACAAACTCGCGCGACAGTGTACCGACCGCGCTGGTGGTAAAGGTTGGCGGTAATGCCGATGGGGGACTTTACGGGAAAATGTGTGTCTGCTGCAACGGTGTCTTCACTGTTCTTCTCTGCTACTCACTTTTTCGCACCACGCATCTACACATAGTCGCACTTTCACACATTCGCACATGCGCATCACCAATTGCAACGTATCCCTCCGTCTGCTCGTTTTCCACTCGCTGCTGAATGATAAGGCGATAGCTCTTGTGACGGTCGTTCCCATCACGTTGTCATGCTGTAGCTATTGTTGCTTTTATTGTGTCCCTTCGTCCCATGGAGACGTAGCCGAGCAGCTCTGAAGGGACCTGTGGGCGGCCCCCAGGGCCACCACGATGCTGCCGCTCCGCACCTTCTCCATGTTGGGGTTGATGGTCGCCATCAGGCGATGTCGGGTGCCCATCAGAGCCGTGCACCGCAGGAGGACATGCTTGGGCTGTCCGCCTCCTCTCAGCAGACGGGTAGAGTGCGGCTCTGCATTGTCGGTCGTCGCACTGGTTGCACCCCGACAGCCAGGAGGGCGCCAACCCGACTCTGTGGCGCCATTGGGAGGAGCTTGTCCAGTGGCCGGCGCGGAGCTGGTGGATGTCCACCGCCGCTGGCCGGTCGCCGCCGGCAACGGTAGGCGGGAGTCGATCCCCGTCAGCTGGTGGAACCAGCCGGCTGGCCAGGCCCCGACGGTGCGAGCCCTCGCCACTCTGGCGGCGGCCCAGTGGGCCTTCTGGACGTCTATAAGGATTTGTTTTTAGTCGAGTATGTTTGCCTTCTTGGCGATGGTGTCGGCCCTCTCGTTGCCTTCCAACCTGCATTGTGAGGGCACCCACTGTAGGTAGACCAACAGGCCTCCAGCTGTCAGTCCCCAGGGGGCTCTCCAGATGTACACTCCGAGCGAGGAGTGCCGGGCGGCCCAGCTACATCGGAGGGCGGCGAGGGCGGACTGCGAGTCGGTGCAGGCTACGATGGTGTCTTCGGCGTGCGGCGGGTTCTCCAGCAGCTAGGAGAGAGCAGCTCGGAGGGCGACCATCTCAGCTCGGAAGCTGGAGCACAGGTAACCTGCCGGGGCGCGGATCGAGTGCTCTTCCCCGTTCGGCCAAACCATTAGTGCCCCCGGCGCCTCCGTCATATTCTGTAGCTCGTTAGTTACAGTATGCTCTTCGCCCTTGGCACATTTCTTGGCTTCTCCATCAAAAATGTCCACAGCTGGCCTAGAAATGGTGACCTGCCAGTTTCCTGAGATATCCAAAGTAGAAGTTCCTGTAATAACAGGCCACCACCGGCACAGATGTTTGTCCCAGCTACTTACACTCCAATCAGTCCTATGCATCTTGTTTCTGCTCCACCGCTATTTTTCCGTCCGTTCTTCGCAGACTGGCGTATTCTTGAGCTTCCCGATCCCGATGCAAGTTTTGCGGTAACATTTAAGAGCGGCAACCTTCATCGTTTAACATTGATGCGAAGGGTACGAATTCCATCATTTCATCGAGCATTCTTCCGAGATGATTTGATCCAGACCATAATGAACTACAACCCCATACGACACACAGGATAAACTTCATTGTTTGATTGAATAAGCTTACTTCTTTTGGATGTAGTGGCGTATCACTGCCATGGGTATGGCATTATTTAGCGCGGCGTAGCTTCGAACTGCGATGGCGAGTTGTTCTTTTCACATTAACTGCTGGTCAAGTTAAGTCTTTGTAGCTCCTTTCAGTGAGTCTTTTTTTTTCTCCAGAATAAAATAAGGCACTAGGCATTATAGGAAGTATGCTGAGACTGGCGCCGTCGATAGCGTCCTGTTTTTCTTCTTGCTGTGTGAGTCTCACAGGAGTCAGTGTTTGCAAAAGTAAACTTGCAAATCTGATTGTCCTCAGCGTTATCTCTTATCTCGATTGATGGTTTCGTCTGTGGACATTTTTTTCCTTTTAGTTATACGGGAGGCTAAGAAGTTGCCTTTTTGCTAGAAATCATGTTTCGTTTCACATTTTTCTTGCCCTGACTCTGGCTTGATACCCGGAATGACATCTTCGCACCACACGTTTTCTGATCCGGTCGTGATGAGGTAGTGATCGATAATATTCTTTCCTTTTTTGACCATTTTTTTTCGAGCTATTTCTTACTTATTTTTACTGCTTCTTGCGGCCCTATATAATGTATCGTTATTTCTCAAAACCCTTTTCAAAACCAACGTAAATGACTAGTTCCGACAAATTAGCAACGACAACCAACAATGCAACCAACATTCAAAAGCAAGAAAATGCGCGCAAAGTACGGCTGCATTTGTGAAGTATATACCTCCAGCGTGAACAAATGGCTAACTGAACGAGAAAAGATGTTCTCATTTATATACATTTATTTCTTATTTATTTTGAATTCAACAAAAAAATGTAATCCGACAGGTAGATAAAAGTATGGGCTATCCTATATCCAAATTTGTAAATATTCTGACACCCTTTTCATTGTAAAAAGATGGATAAAAGTGCACTTATTTTTGGGCCTCCAATGCTGATTTCCTCGGATCAGCGCACAGTCCATATATAGAGAAGTCTGTGCCTGTAGAAATATTAAAGGCAAAAGTTCAACTTTTTCACAAGACGGATGGCTATAAACCTATTCAACGTGTGACAACTCAGCCGGTATTTCGTCGCCTACAGCCCAGCTTTCCCTAGTGACCGATAGAGGCGCTGCTATCGATGTCCGCCCGTGCCGCCTAACGATTCAATTTTAGCGATCTCTCTATTCGAAGCAAATGAGAGATCGCTAAAATTGAATGCAATTCGCCGAAATTGAATGAAAAGATGCCTATTTTGAGTGCAAAAAGGTGTAGATTTAGATGCATTTAAAGTGTTTGTATGCGTAGTCCTGAGTTTCGAGATATTATCCTTGCGGGCTTCTTGCCAACAGATTGTCCACTTCTGTGTCCAGTACTCATCCCACTCACGAGGCTCAGTTGTGTTTGCCAACCCCTATACGGAAACATTGGCCAGATAACTGACTACTACTGAAATTTTAAGAAGCGTGGGCAGTAGGGCATAACGAACGGTTCTCAGGTTCAGTAGCCGCGGAGCACCTTCAATTAAGGGAGGCAGCGCCGACTTTTGGTCCCATTCTTTCCATGCAGGCCGAAATCAAAGGGGGGCACGGTGCCCCGGTGCCCTCCCCGTTCCGCCGCCTATGCTCAGGTTATTTCTGACCTGACAGGCTCAGGGAGGATTGCTCTTTGTTGCTTTTCTCCGATGAACCCTCTTGCTGCACACTGGCTGATCCAAAGGATAGAAGGGACGGGGGGGGGGTGGAGACGTATGAAAAAAGAAGACAATGTTCTTAACCTAGCGCACGAAATCAATTCTTAAAAATGAAAATAAAACGAATAAGCTTCCGTTAAGAAGCCACCGTTCCGTAACTTCCGTTCCATTCCACGACTCGCACTTTCCAGTGACTTGCTGCAGTAGCGTCATCTATACCTCGCCCTTACTGCCGGGAAGGCCGCGAGTTGCGACATCTATACTATGTCTAAGCCTGAAGTACCTCTTTAGTGTTCATCCGCCACGATGTATTTATTTTTGTCGATCGGTTTGGTCCTTCTGGCCGGATAGGTCGTCAGAATTATCTGAAGGTGCCTGAAATGTCTCGTTAGTGGAAAAAATGTCTCGTTAGTGGAATTCCACTATCTGGCAACTAGCCCTATGTAAACGCGGCTAATAAAGACTGAAGGCTTAAGTTTACTCAAAGTCGTGAAAAGGAAGCCATATGCCTCAAGTTAGGTTCAATAGGAGCACTTCAGCCTCCCTGGTCTAGTAGGACTTAGAAATACCTAGGTTTCCACGCCTGGGCACGTGCAGCGGCCTCAGTGCTTAATTCGAATTGCAAGCAGTTTGAAAATTTGCAGCAACTTCCATAAGCTTCGCAGCACGTCCTTGCACTGCACAAAACGATCTTATGTCTCCCTTTCTGCATTGCCGAATAAGGCCTGCCCCTCTCCAGTGTTCACCATATGCAGAAATGGGACAGTCCTTCATACGTCCTCCCGTCGTCGCCTCTTGCACCCAACCCGATCGGCGATCGGCGC